ATCCATCCATCCATCCATCCATCCATCCATCCATCCATCCATCCATCCATCCTTTACCCCTCCAGGCCAGGGCACTACTCTAGATGGCTTACAATATGGCATCCACAACACAAACCAATTTAGATTAAAACAAAAAAGAATTAATTAAATTAAACATGGGCAGGTGTATGAAAAGCCTGAGTAAAGAGCCAAGTCTTTACTTTTTTCCTGAAACCGAGAAGGGTTGGGGTCTTATTTATTTCCAAAGGAAGGGAGTTCCATGGCATGGTGGCCACCAATGAGAAATCCTGATTCCTAGTAGTGGATTTCTGGGCCTCCCTCAGAGTGGCTACCTGTATCTGAAGTTTCCAAACTGCTGCCAAGAGCACTTTTTAAAAACAATATAACTAAAATACATAGTGACTAGCCGTGAATTCAATAAACAACTTAGCAGAATGAATACCTTTGGGTCTGCTTCCCAGCACTGATGCATCAATTCTGCAAAGCTTCCAGGACAGCTGCTTGGAATAGTAAGTCTCTGTATGTAACAAGAGCAAGAGGTCAGTCAGGCAATCAAATAGTGAGAAATAAACAGCAGAAAATCAATTCAACACCTGTACTAATACAGAACATGTGCATGTCATAGATTTCTAGAAACTAGCCTACACCATAACACAAAGAAAGTGTGGGACCAGACAAGACATATTATTCCAAAAATGTCTAGAGAGCAGAATGCATATGTCTAGAAGTGTAATTAACACTTGGCAAGCCGCCTAGAGTGGCCTTTTAGGCCAGATGGGCGGGGTATAAATCAAATCAAATCAAATCAAATCAATCAATCAATCAATCAATCAATCAATCAATCAATAACTAGCAAACCAAGCTATCATCCTTCCGTTTCTCAGTGAAATATTTTATTCTGGCGGTAAGAGTGATAAATCTATTATTAGGTATACAGTACTTCATAAATCACATCCATGGCCTGGTTATTGCTGAGGAGGCTAACGACATGTATGCTGATTTTTATAGTGATGTATGTATATATAAGAAAAGGAAGAATTCTGAACATGCTAGAGCAGTGGTTCCCAATTTTGGGAAGCCCAGGTGTTCTTCGACTGCAACTCCAAGAAATCCCAGCGAGCACAGCCAGTGGTGAAGGCTTCTGGGAGTTGCAGTCCAAGAAAACCTGGTGACCCAAGGTTGAGAACCACTGTACTGTACTAGAGAGTTCTGGATTGGAAACAACCATAATCTCAGTGTAACATATCAAGTGATTCTCAAATCCTATGTGAATATGAAGCTAAACTTCCCCACCACGTTCTTCTGTATGTCCAAAGGCAGAACAGCAGAACACGTCAAAATGTTAAATGGAGACAACCATTCCTGAATTTAGAACTAAAGGGGGTCTTTGGAACAAATTACCTATAACTCCAAGCTATGATCTTCTCAATTATTCTAGGGCAATAATTAACTATCCTAATGACTACACATCTTTTAACTTCTGTTAAAGTTTCCATTAGTGCTTACACCCAAAGTGCAGCTCTTCAGAAATGTATGAAGAAATACAAGGAATACAATCCCAATATTTTAAAAGGTTCACATACTCGAAACCATTTGAGATGTTCTTTGCATTTCCTCCCATCTAGTCATCATTCTCTTTGTCATACATGTTCAAAAATACTCCAAGTTCTTATTGATTTTTTTGAAATTCATTCACCACCCTACCATTCCCCCAATAAAGGGACCCAAGACAACCTTTTTTATAAAATGGCTGCTGTTTTTCAAATGAATTATTTGAAATGAAGTTATAGACTGCTAAGTGGTCCTGTGACCTCCTTCTTACTTAACAGAACCATGCAAAACTTAAAGGCACAACACAAGTTATTGCTCCAAATCCATCACAAAAAAAGCCTCACTTTGGAGCGGTCAGAATTCAAAGATCCAGTTCAATTTCCAGCTACTGATGGCCAGACAGGAACACTTTGTGCATGTATCTAATGATAGTCAGGTAGGGGTGCCTTGTGCATTGTGGCAAACCAACACTTGGCAAGGTGGCACCTGTCAGATTTCCAGAAAGTATCAGAAAAATTAAGTCAGTTTCTGGAGACATCCTGGACGGTTGGAAATCCTATCTCTGGTCAAAACAATTTGCAAATTATTCTGAATTCACCAAATTGATGATGATAATGCATAGATTTATGATCAACATTGGTACAAAATATGTGAGTGTGCTCACATATGAATGCTGCAAATTCCGATTGGACAATGTATAGGACTATATATTTTATTTAACTTGATTTATATTCTACCTTTTCCCCACAACTAGGCTACAAGGTGGCTGACAACAAGATTATTAAAAACAGATTCAGATAAAAAACAAACCAAAAGTTATAATATCTGAAGCGATTATAATGGCAAAATACTATTGAATTAAAAATCATTTTAAAAACCCTTCAGTTAAAAAAAAGGAGTGTGCCACTGAGAATCCCCAGGTAGAAAAGTTGTTTCTGATGGCCTGTAAAAGCAACTATGCATGGCCTTAGAAGTATATCTAGAAGAGTGTGAATTGTTTTGAAGTGCTTTAGAATAGTTTTAAATCACGTTATTGTCTATAATTTGCCACAAGGTGTCTACATGAGAGTGGGATGCCGATATTTTAATGAATAAATCAATTAATCTTTAGAGTCACTTTTCATGCTATGCTTGTTGAATGTAAACATATCATATAAGAACTCTCCTTAAGCATTCAAAAAAATAACTAGCATCTAAAAAAATTAAGTGCCTAAATAATAAAAATTACCCAAGACAGGGGAACAATCTACGTATCAGAAGTTTTGACAGAAGACTGAAGAACGAACCGCCAACAAAATATAAATGAATAATTAGTAATGTAGCAACACAAAACCAAAAGTGGTGTCAAAACTAATCTTGTGTAAAAGCCACAAAAACCTGGATAAATTCACCTCATGCCATTAACCAACCCATAACATATAAGAAAGACCTACAAACTGTTGGTCAACAGCATTACAACCAAGCTGTCTTTTCCTTAAGTGCATCCCAAAAAAGATTACATGGGTTCACATACCAATCTAATTAAAGAAGAAATCAATTAAATCTGAATTCTATTCGACTCCTCCTTCTGCTGCATAGAATAGTTTTGGCATGCACTGCACTTTCTCAAGAGGCACACGGAGTAAGTTAAACAATATGAACGACTGTAGGAATGTAATAGGATCTGCAAAACTTTATGAACTCTTGTGTGTCAAAGCAAAAAAAGCCATAAAAGCTATTATGGAAGAAATAATGCTATGAGAAGAAAACAGGAAGCAAGAAATGTATGCAGTAAATCTGTAATAATGTATAGAATTGTTAAAATAAATATGTACTATGAACATTTTAAAGAACTTCTCTGGCACAAATATATTCAAGAAGTCTAACTGGCATAAACAAAGTGGCACAGGCACTTGATACTGAGGCCAGTCATTTGTCTAAAAATATATCTGATAGTCTAAGCAATGGCATTTGTCTGTAACCCTCACTGTTCCACGAGATGGAAAACGAGTTTCTAAAAGACACGTAATAATCACTTACATCTGTCTTACTTGAGTAGAATGTTATTTGTCAGATAATTTATAGGTAGCAGGTCCCAAAGAGTGTCATACTCTAATAAAAGTGACATTTCTTAGTAGTAATTTGATGTTAGGTAATGACATCTCTAATATGAACTTTCATCCTTAGGATTGCATTTTGGAGTTTAAAACATTCAAGCATCAAGAAAACCCTAGTTAAGTGGGTGAAAAGAAGTCTTTATCCCCTAAACCTGTGACTGTACCAAACTCTGTGGGGCTTTCTTCTGAGTAGACATATAGAGAGTCACACTGAAAATCTTTAAGGGTCCATGTGCTTTAGTGGGCAGAGTACTAAAATACTGGTTCAAATCTCTGGCAGTGAATCAGCCTTGATGGCCTGGGGAAAGTCTTTTACTTTGTGGCCTAGTGGAATTCTGAGAGTAAAATGAACACTGCTCTAACCATCTCTGAGGAAAATCAAAATACAAATAGTTTGTGTCCTTTTTGTAATGAAGGACAAACCTTCATTTGCCTCACACCTTCATTTGCCTCACACTTCCTGTGAATTACATCTATTTCGAGAATGGAATTCTGCTTCTTATTCAATGTAAATTTAACTGTTTTCATATTGCATTGTAAACTCAGTGTGACATACATGAGGGTAGGGTCTAGGACCAGTAGTGCATTAGTCCACTGATGTAAATGCAGTCCTTCATACGTTGCTGGAATCATTGGTCTCAATCATCACCATAGCCAATGGTCAGAGATTATGGGAACTGAGATCCAACACTATTTGAAAACCAAGAGGTTTCCAAACCCTCCTTTTCTCCCATTGATTTCAGTGGGCCTTTGATCACTGCTGCCTATGGGACTAAAGCACAGTTAACTGGATTTAACCCAAAATGTGCTTATTTATCCTCAATATACACATATACTTAACATAGTTTTGTGTTCCTCAGTATTCTTGCTTAGTATTTTCGCCATGTAGAATGAACCTGGCAAGCTCCTAGTTATTTTTCAGATGTTTCTGTGAACATTGTTTTTACTTTATTATAAACAAGACAACATTTTCTCTCTTTCTATTTAAAGTTCAGAATATACACAACCCATGCAAAGTTAAGGGCTTCTAAGGTCCATTTATTTCAGATGGGAAGCACTGAAATAATTATTCTTTTCAGTGCTAAATTTTGGTTGGAGCATGGCCATATTAAGCAAAGGAGCAACATTAAGTGGTAGAAACCTTACGCTACCACACATTTGTTCCGTATCACGACTCTATATCCAACTATGCTGTCAGACCGCTGTTTTAAGGGAGATGTCTCTTGCCTGATATCCCTATCTCCAGAAAGGGACCAAACAAATCTTGTGGTGAATGAAAAAAAAATCTTTTCTACCTGCTTAAAAATAGAGTGGGCATGCCTCATAACTCATTATTATTTTCAAATTGTATTATTTAAATTACAACACTACATTCATTTTGAATGACGGAAGCTTTTCAAACGAAGTTGGATGTTCCATAAAGGCTTGTGCACAGCATAGCCCACCTAATCTTCAAATAAAACTTTTTTTAAAAGACAGAATGCCATTTATACATTAATTCACTCCTCCTCTCTTTTCTAGTAATAATTTAACTACAACGCTTAGAAGTTTCTACCACTGTTTTGGGAACTGGCTCTATGAAAAGAATAAAGAAGCCATACTGTAGAAATTATCTGAGTCGCTTTTATAATGGTACCCAACCTTCCAGCCTGCCTAGTTAGAGAAGGATTTCCATACTCTGCCTGTGTGTGATATAGCCGCAACTTTAAATGTTTTTGTTATATATAAAAAAAGGTACTTCCCGTCTTTGATATCAAGGAGCCATGTGTTCAAATACACGCTCACATGTTCAACTACCTGAAAGCCTCAATTTGTAGGAAGAAGAAGAAAAGCAACGCTGGGGACACTGGTACAAAGGGTGTTTACGCCACTGAAGTTCTTTTGAAATGGAAAGACACGGCATGAAGGAGCGTACAACTATGGCTCGGCCTTACCAGCACCAGTGAGAAGCTCATCTTCAATGTAGTGGTGAACGTAGGTGGCAAAACTGTAATTTCCTCTTTTTTAAACTATTTTTTTCTTCTTCTTTTATTTTTGAAATCCTCATCTAAGTGGCAGTTTCTTGTACTATAGTGACTCCTGCTGGGAGAGTTAAGTTGAAGTAGCTGAAGGTCTCTTACAGATATATCAACTCCCGGCCAGTATAAAGATGTCCTAAACGCAGGAGATGGAGTTAAACGGTTCCCCTACCTTGGACGCAATGGCTTCTTTCATCACTAAGAACAAACCCCTAGGTTTTACAATTGAGACTGAGAAACTAGTACAGTACTTGTACAATTTTTGATCTACAGCATCACGACGTGAAGCTGCAACAATTAGATGTAAAGGGTCCATTCATGAGGAATAACATCACTTTGACCCTTTGTGTTAGCTCCTACTGCTAATCTTTCCATACGCGTGAACTTACTTTCAATTTGAAGAAGATGAAAAAGTCTTTTGCAAAACCCAATACTGTTTTCTGATCTATGTACCTGAATGTAGAAACGTAGTCTTACCTCGTTTTTTTCTACGACAAGCCAAGCTACTTGTAATCCTTCCAAGCCTTTAAAGGGGACCTCCCTTGTTAGCATCTCCCAGAGAACCTGGAACAGGGGGGGAAAAGAATTTTTATTTCTGTACTTTGTATTTTAAATACATTATTAAACCTTGATACCGCACTATCTGTATCCAATTACCAGGCAACCACAGCCCATCTGCAAGAATCTGGACATCTGTTTGTGTGCAAGATCCTCACACAAAATTAATTTTAAATGTTTATCTTTTTCCTTTTAGAAGCCCTGATTTCATAATTACTGAAAGAGATATGCGGCTGGATTTTATGAAGTACAGAAAGCCACAGTCTTCTTTCTTTGTTTCTCAGTTGCTCCAGCCTTATGGATATGAGATATATCAACTTGTGGATTTCTGCTCTTCAAACTAGACAAGAGAGACATCACTGCAACCCTATCTAATTTTTTTTTGGAGAAAATCTGCATTGTTACTTTCATATTCACTTCTACAAGAAAAGTAAGTTGACATGACACATTAACTTTGTAAGCAGTGAAGGGCATCCAATAACCTCTGTATTAACTAACCCCAATGGCACAGCAACATTTTTTTTTCTGTTTAAGTATTTAATAACTCTACTTCATCATGAACATTTTTTTTACAAATATAGTTCAAACTGATTCACTTAAAGATTCATGGTCATCTCAAGTGAGTGATAGCCTAGGCTTGGAGGCCAACGGACTAGCTCTCTACATATATAACACAGGAGTTTAGCCAAGCTACATTATTCATAATCTTGCCTTATTCTCTTCAAAGGAAGTAGACTTGTCCATGAAGGCTCACAATAAAATATAACAGTGACTCTTCAAGAGGCCACCACGTTTTTGTCTTGTGTATTTGTTCTTTCATTTTCATTTTTATTTTTACCTATAATTCTCTTCAGATGTCACTGGAAAGCCACTCTATATTTCCAACAGTATGAACTGGGGGATATATCACTCAAGTCAACTAAAAATAAAATCTTTCAGTTCTTATTAATCAGATAAAGCTACTCCTACAGCTAAGTATTCAAAAAATCATGGTGCTGACCACCATGGCCTGCAGGTTAGCACTTAGGTTTAGTTATGACCTTTTATCTAATTCTGGATGCTTTTGGAGGCTTTAATTGGTCATGAGGGTGAAGGGAAAACGCTAACGTTTAGCTAGTCTTCTAATTGATGGAAGATGGTGTTCTATCAACGTCACCGTTGAAGTTGCAAAACTGATGAGAAAAGTAGCATTCTAGAAGTTGCTGCACTGAACAAATATTTAATGGGAGAAAGAGCAACCTGCAAAAGCACAACCATCAATCGATACTATGGTCTGGGGTAGAGATGGATGGGAGGAAATGCATTTGTTACTCTGATCACCTAATTATCGGATTAGCAGGGCTACATCAGTTTATTTTGGGGGATGGCGGAAAGGAAAAGCTACATTCTTAGGATTCCTCTGCCAAGAATTCCTTCGTGACTTAATGAATAAAGATGTTAACCTAAATTCCCAGTAACAGGATTATTTTAAGGGGGCTGGAGTTGTTGCCAAGTTACTCTGAAGCGTACTGAACGTGAATCTGAACTCCATCCAGCATGCACAAGTCAAGCTGTCCTGCTTCTCTTAACCAGCCTGCCTTTTCATCTTTGCCTCTCTCCATTTCTCTCCACCACAAAAAGTGACTGCTCAGTTTTGCTTTGGTTCGGGTGTCTGTCAGGAGTGTGGATATATTATTATTGTTCTTAATGGGCTAATTCACTTTATCTGTAATGTGAAATGTTAGCTAGTAAGTCAGAAGCAGTTAAAAACAAAATGTTTTTTTTAAACTCTTTAATCACATACAAAAGGTGACTGAAGCCAACCAGAAACAAAAAAAAAGGCATGAGCAAGTGTAACATGACGAATGTAGTACAAAAAACTACCGCTTCCAGAAAACTCGTCAGGGGTCTCTGATAAGAGCAAGCACCCAATCTCTAGGACTTTCCAAGACTCCCACTGCACTGGAAGATGATGCTTCTCAAGTGCAGGAGTGCTTTGTTTTGTTCGTTTTGTTTTGTTTGTTTTGGCAGTGTGGGCAATTCTTGCACACTCATTAATCCAAAGCTACCAGCTCCAACTAGCCAAAGGCTTGACATAGTTATGTAACGGCCTCAAAACCACCGAAGGAGAGCGAGGTGGTGTCAGCTAAAAATTCTAACACTACACGGTGAGCTCACCCATCAGCTTTACACAGAGTTTGGCTGGGGAATAAGCCTTACATGCTTAATAATGCATCCTCATTAGATCTACACCTCCAAAAATAAGTTTAATTACTGAACAGCTTTGGGCACATGTTAGTAAAAGAAACCCTATTGAACTTATATTTAAACAGCCTGTGCTGCTCAGAGATATCATCATTATCCTGTAACTACTTCTGTATAAGGCAGAAGAGCAAATACTATTTACATCCTAAAGCAGGAAGACATGCTAGTCACAAAAGAGTGTATGAGATCTTGACGAGTAATATTTGTTGTTTGTAATAAAGACATTGGCAGTGGCTTAGGAATAAGTGGATGGATCACTAGGACCTTAAGACTTGACCTAGAATTTGTCAAGGTAATCCAGCTGTGTGTCAAACAATTTAAGGCTCTGATTACAAATTCATTTACCCATAATCAATTTCATCCATTTCAACAGAAATCACATGCAAGCAAATCACAGCACAGTGTAATTTGAGCACTGTTTATTCAAAAATAATTTCACTGTTTTCTTTGGGACTTACTTCCGAACAAGGAAGCATGAGATTTGTATTCTTAAGTGTCTCAATCTCATGAAATTATTTGCCCTAACTCAAAGAGACAAGAGGACGCAAAGGAATGGACAAATGACTATGAGCAATATATGTCATCCTTCCTAAGTTTCTTGAGACTTATTCAGAAGAAGCATGGAAAAATCAGGATCCATGAGTTGACAGCATCACATTGTATTAGGGTGGGAAAATGCTGTTTAAAAGGAAGATAGAAAACAATATAATAGTTCCATGAATAAAACCCATTCTGGCAGGGAAAAACCAGGAAAAAAATAAATAAAAGAAAGGCCACGGAATCTGACAACAGAATGCCATTTCCCAACATCTTAGTAGTTTACATTTGAAAAGGATTCTTCTCTTTGTTATCAAAATTTCAGCTGCACTTCAGCTGATGAAAAGCAGATGTCTGTCTAGCACAAAAGCCACTTGTAAGTGCTCTAGATTATACTAGGCTGTTCAAAACTTGTATTTATGGATTAGATTGTTTTAAAAGAAAAAATAGACCCTTTTTTCCATGGCTTAAGGGTTTATCTTCAAAACACACTGTTGGTCAAAAGGTTTGTATTAGAAGATGTTGGAAAAGAAATCTTGATGGAAGCTAATTGTTAGGAGATATCAAACCAATAACGCACTTTGCTTTACTAAACCAAACATCTAGATCAGCAATTAGAATGGACGCAGAAGGATATAATTATTCATCAATAGCCATTTTGTTATACTGTATAGCAGTCCCTGAAATTTTCGTGCCTATGGAAAATGGGGTCACTACTTCATGAATTCTAAAGTGGTCATCCCATGCCTAGTTATTTTATAAGCTTTCTATATTTTTTGCCCTCTCAGAACATTCAGGTGTTGAAGGTCAAGTAGAAAAAAAAAACTGTCTAAGAGATTTCAATTCCCTGTCACTGGCACACACCAGATCAGCCACTTAAACCAGTTTCAAGGTGTGATTAAAAATAACAGTGCTTTATCTAACTAAAAAAAAATCATACCTGTGTTCAAACCTGTCCTTTGTGAGATGGATTTTTCTCCAAAAACAAATGGGTTGCATTCAGACTAACACTGCAACCCATTGTGTAACTTCTTTATACCTAGGAGCCCCTGTGAATGTTGCCACAAGTCAGAAAAGACAGCACACTATTATTAATTAGGCAATCTGGTACCTGCTAGAAAATATGAGTTACAACCCTCATTAAGCACTGACCATTGGCATGCTGGCGGATCTTAAGGAACACAACATCTCCCTATGCTATGCATATAATGTAATGAGAAGCAGTGCAATGAGAAGGCTTCATAGTTTTTCATCTCCAGCCTCTCCCTGTTCACATAGAAGGGAATGTCTGCATTAGGAAAGTTCTGTTCAAGATGGAATTTCTGTAATCTAGAAATTTAAAGTCATTAGTATAGTTGCAAGTAGGAGTTTCATGTGCGTCCATTTATCAGTCCAGTCTGTGTCATTTAAATGTTAATCCCTGAAATTTGTTTCGGGAAAATATGTTTCTATTTAAATATGTGATCTGAATATATTTTCTCAAAATATACTTTACTTGAAAGTATACTTTCCCTAAAACAAACATTTTCCATGTTTTTTTGAGCCTAGAACTGTGTCTCATGATTTGGAGAAGCACAAAATCTGAAAAGTAAGTGCCTCTTGATTCACACAGGAGTCCAAGGGTACAGATCTTGTCACTTTATACTGGAATCTGGAAAGAACCCATTCCTCCTGCATCTGCACTTGTAATGGGGTGGTGGTGGTGGGAAAGAATATTTGGACAGGGCATGTGAAAGAGAACAATGAGATAAATCCGCATTACAGGACTCATGCTGAAAAACAAGATGGGAAAGTGACCATGGAGCATGTACGTAAAGCAGAGAGTCAACATGGAAGAACGAACGCAGAAAACTGGAAAAGGCTACCAGAATGGGAACACTAAAGAAACAAACGCATAAACACACACAGGTAGTGTAAAGGAAGTGCCACCTATAGCTTAACCACACTCACCCTGTTTTCTTGCTTTGGCATTGAATATGGAGCGTGGGACCTACTTGGCTCTCCTAAGAAAGATTTGCAAACATTTTTAGAAGGTAAAAAAAGAGAAAAAGCAGGCTACTCACAACACCATATGAATATGTGTCACATGTTTCAGACACTGGAAGACTCTGGATAACCTCTGGAGCCATCCAAGGAAAGGTGCCAACAAGAGACATATGTGTTGTATGGGAATGGAACCTTGAAGCACCAAAATCACAGATCTAGACAAGGCAGTAAGCAAACAATTGGTAAGACAGTTGTTCTTTCTTTATGGGAAACTAGTTGTGAAATATGATGCAAACATCTCTTATATGCAACTGGAAAGTACCTACCTTTAATACTCCATCACCAGCAATAACCACTAAAAACAAAATTAAAAAGCTAGTAAGCGAAAATTATATCAGAACTACGAGCAAATTAAAAACAATCCCATCATGATCATCAACTTGAATATACCAGTAAACATGACTCGTATATCGTTTATCTAGATAAAATGAGTGAGATTATATTGTAGAAATCCTAAACTACACCCTAATGAATTGACTATTATAGCCTTGAAGAAGTATACTGTACCTAAATCTCACCAGAGATTATGAAATGGCAGGAAAAACTAATAATAATAATGTGCCATCAAGTCAACTCTGACTTATGGCAACCCTTTTCAGAGTTTTCCAACCAGTCCTCAGAACTGGTTTCCCCTTCCCTTCTTGTGAGGGCATCCTGGGATTGTGCAGCTTGCCCAAGGCCACACAGACTGGCTCATCTCCAGGAGGCACAGTGAAGAATCAAGCTCCCAACCTCTAGCTCAGCATCCAGATACTTAAACCACTGAGCTATCCAGCCAGAAAAAGCTACCCTTCAATTAAAAATCCAAAACATTGATGAGATTTTAGTTAAAGAAAAACAATTAAACAGGACACCATTATTGAGAGGGAGGGAGAGAGCACGTGAGAGCAGAGAGATGTTTTTTCTCTTTCCTTTCTAATATTGTGGTTTGGTGTCAACCAATGTAATTGAACAAGGGATTTACACGTATTATCTAGTCCATCTGTTGTCAATTCTGGTAGGAGTAAATGCATTGCAGGTGGAGAAGAGGGAGGACTATAGTCACCCCAAATGGTGTACGCATGTTCCTGCTCCAAAAGGAAGTGGAATGTGGATATCTAATGCAGAGTTTGGGAATGTGAATTTCTTTCAACCCTGAGCACTGCCTTTATATGTTTTTGTACTGCACCTGGGAAATCTTTTCTGTGCACAAAAGCCTGGTTCTGTTCCAGTTGGAATTCCCTTACTAGAATATCAGGGTGAATAAATATCAATTTTTTTATATATTTATCAAAATCATTTTTCCTTTAAATCATCAAAAAAAATCCAATTTTAAAAATTTAAATCTTGATTTAAATCAATTTGATTTAAATCGATTTGATTTAAATCAAATCTACCCTTCTAGAATATCAGGGCAAAAACATTTGCGAATCCAAATCTTAGATCTTATGTTTGAGTTGGTAAACTTGTAAAGGTTTCCCCAATTTAAATAGAAAACAAAATAACAGACTTTCTTTAAAATGCATAATTCCTTGTTTTATTCAACAAATATCACTGTTGCTATTTTGTGATGTTGAAGTTTGGAAGTATTTTACTCTGATTGTCACTGTAGGCTGAAAGTTTCTTGCTTAGTATAGTAGGTCACACTAGAGCCCACTGAATCCTTAGAGATTTGGTAAGCCAACTCCTCCGTACACCCCACTGATTCGAATGGCTCTACTCTAGTTGTTATTTACTATGATGCTAAAGTTGCAACTAGGATAAGTCCACTTGAAACAATGGAACTTATAGGGTTGACTTACCAAATCGCCACTGAATTCAATGAGCCCATTCCTGAGCTACTTATGACACCAGGCAACAGGATTTCAGTCGCAGGAACCATGCAAAATTGCAGACACATTCCCAAATTTTTCATCCACAACCTCCCCACTCCCTGAAAAATACAAGTAAACTTTCCTCAAGGACAAACAGGATCAGTAGTAAAAGTGCTCTAAAATTGTCTTCACCAACAGTTAACTGCAAATAAAGTTGCTTTTCTATTTTTTTGTGCCATCACAATGAACCAGTATTTTCAAGAAATCATGCTGCATTACCATTTCGGGACTTCAGGTCTCTGTGGATTACTTTAATTGGGGCTTCCATATGCAAATAGTGCATTCCTAAAAGGAAATAAGAGGTTTTATTGCAGCAAGATCACATCTTGTCAGTACCAGCAGAAGCTTGTTTCCAAAACGAGTGGAATAAGATGAACCTAACAAACTCTGGGAGCGAACCAAAGATGTCAAAGGAACTTAAAGCACTTGTCCAGAACACGTCTCCATAATGCGGTACCCTTGCCTGTAAAGACCTTCCTTCCTTTAACACGAGCAGATGCTTAGCACTCAGGGGCACTTCCCAGTGGATACTAAGACTGCCTTTTACACTGGAGAGAAGTAGGCTCCCCTCCTGTGCTGTGATCTGTGCATATAATCAGCACTGCTGAAACAGTTTTCAAACAGCAGTCAGGGACACAATGTGTTCAAATAACAATAATTTTTTAAAAAAAAAATACAGCTCCATTTGCTTAGTATTTTCTCTCTTGCAGTGAAGGGGATAGTATGTGTGCTCTGGAGAAATGCCTACCCAGTACTCACCATGTATATCCAGTGAGTATTGGCTTGCTTTTGACTGCCTTTTTTAAATCAATCTGTATTAATTTCCTCATCTGTATACCATCACCAACTAAATATACCATAAATGGAAAAAGTCTTCAAAGAGGGAGGGAAATTATATCTCCAGTCAGTAACTTACTGTACTGTACTTCCATTCGAAGTATTTGGAATTAAGCTAATTCACTTAACACTTTGAGTTAAATAGGCCTGTCCTGAATCTCACATCTTTAATGAGACTACATGTGTCTTAATTGGATATACACTCAGGATACTTGGTATACAAGACATATAAATTATTCAAACATCCAAACATTTCTTCTGTCCTTTGATGGGACTAAAATGTTCGCAAGCAAAATGTACTGCATTCTAAGCCACGAGACAGTTAGCATGAAGAACACCATCATGTTTCACTGCTAAAATATGGCTTACTTGCTGATAAGAACTAGTGCAATGCAAGCCAGAATTTTACAAGAACATGCTTTTTTGGAGACCACATCATCAGGTTTCACATCGATTTAGGAATGCCCTGTTCTTAAGGCCATGGCAATGTAGGAGTGCACAAGACTGTGTATACTGTACTTAGAAATGGAAAGTGACTGGCCTCCAGAATTTTTGCCAGCTTCACTAACACAAATATAAATGATTTTCAATTACATTATTAAGCTATATGTGTATTTGGGAGCACACATGCAACTATACACAGTTAAGCTTTCCTAAGCATTTAAACTGAGAAAGCAATTCTATATAGTATATGCATTGGAATTCCCATGCCTGTCAACAGGAAATAAACTGGACTTACAGTAGAGGTAGGAATACATAGTTGGGCCCTTTAGGGCCAAAGTAAAAATGGGATGACTTGTTATTAGTTGCCCTGAGTGGTACAAATACTGTACACTAGAAGAGTGTTCTCAGGCAAAGTTTTTATTATATTGTTGTTGTTTAGTCGTTTAGTCGTGTCCGACTCTTCGTGACCCCATGGACCAGAGCATGTCAGGCCCTCCTGTCTTCCACTGCCTCCCGGAGTTGTGACAAATTCATGTTGGTAGCGTTGATGACACTGTCCAGCCATCTCGTCCTCTGTCGTCCCCTTCTCCTCTTGCCTTCACACTTTCCCAACATCAGGGTCTTTTCCAGGGAGTCTTCTTTTCTCGTGAGATGGCCAAAGTATTGAAGCCTCAGCTTCAGGATCTGTCCTGCCAGTAAGCACTCAGGCTTGATTTCCTTTAGAATGGATAGATTTGTTCTCCTTGCAGTCCAGGGGACTCTCAAGAGCCTCCTCCAGCACCACAATTCATATTTTTAAATTAAAAAGTGTATAACTTAAAAAGACTTTAATTTAAAAGCCCCCTCCCACAGTACTACTGCTCCAAAATTGGATATCCCTCCTTCAACAATCATTTTAAAGCCCAAATCAAAATGTTGGGAGGTCTACTTGCACCTCCCAGTACGTAGTACACTGCTGTATCAGCCTTAGGATAATATTACGAAGGTAGGTATGAAAACACTTTCAGTAACTATATGTCATTGCTAACCAAAACAGAATCAATGCCACTCCACTGCTCGTATTAATTTATGACGCCCTGATAAGTCTTAAGAAACGTTTTTTCTCAGTATAAATAACCAGAGAGAGAGAGAGCCCTCTGTACAGAGAAGACATTCCTATTAAACATTCTGCTTTGTCATGATCACTAATACGTATCTGGTGTCAGCATTCACAAGTCATGTTCTTGAATTAAAGCCCATTTAGTAAATAAAGGTTCAGTAGTATTCATCACAACAGACTTCACAGAAGGTATCCATATTGCTATGATTAGAAAATGTAAACGACTCAGAACAGGGATTAAGAGCAAACCAAGTAGGCCTACAGGTAGGTCTACCATGAGCAAACAATCACACTCACCTTTCGCTATATCAGTTGCCCAGGTCATTATGTGATCCATATCCATATCCTCACTTCTGTTGCTATTAATGTAGTCATACAGTGACCCAGCAGAAGCATATTCTATTAAGAAACAGCACCCATGTTTTAAAATGGCACCATCTGATGATTGGATAGATATACAACAACAACTGGCAATCTTAACTTTCTGAAGCTATTTACATCTCACAATCACAGACATGCTGTAGAGAGCATTTACACTTTGTATACTCTTGAAATAAACCCATCTCAAATAAATATCATATATTTTTGAGGTAGGGAAGCTTTAGCCCAATGGTTCCCAATCCTAGATCCTCAAATGTTCCTGGACTACAACTCCCAGGAATCCTGGCCAGCACAGCTAGTGAAGGCTTCTGGGAGGTTTATTCCAAGAACATCTGGGGACCCAAGGTTGGGAACCACAGCTTTAGCTTTTCTGTTGTTTCGGGCTATAGCAGTATCCTTGCCACTTGCCATGCTGGCTGGTGATTCTGGGAGTTGAGAAAAGTTCTCACCTCCATTGTACAGTATGGAGTTGAAGTGTATTTATTTCAAGGACAAAAAGTAAATTACTACTGAATGTGAATTACAGTGAGTTGATCCAAATTTTTGTCACATTCAGGGTAGATTCTTTTAGTAAGAACTGTCTTAAGTCCCTTTGATTTCAGCTAATTTACTCTAATATGAATACATCTAAAAGCAACCCAACTATATTAAGGAAGCGATGATAAAATAACAGCAAAAGGTATATGAGAAGGACTAGATGGAGGGTGGTTAATAAATTAATTCATAAATAATTTATACAAATATAGAATATAGCTCATTAATGAGCAAAACAATTAGTAAACTATCTCCAGCAATATACTGTAAATTGTTTATAAAATTAACAAAACAAAATTCATATCGTTTTTTCTCAAAATACATTACAGAAAAAGCCTTTTACCATGTCATGTCTGGGCTTATTTTTCCATGAATCATCGTATCATGCAGCAGGACACTTTTCAAGCAGGACAGGACAGCTATTTGATTTTGGTATTTTCATTCCTCAAACCAGCAAAAACTAATCACTGGTCACTTTTTTTTGCTAATATCTCACTGGAAGCGTGGTGAAAATAAGCATGCTTGTACACCTGATCCATTCCACGTGGAATGGAGCAGCATGTGAGTGAAGCAGCATTACATTACACACTTAATATGAAAAAAAAAATTAAGCATAGCTCAATAAGCACCTAGAATCAACTTTGATGGAAGATAAACCTGGGCAAGTTAAAGTGTGTGAAACAATTAAATATAAGTCTTCAAAACATTTATATTTATAGTCAACAATAATCTGGACTTCTACAGTCAAAAGGAATCAAACTAGTTAACATATGGGAGATCTGTTCTCAAACTGAATAGAATGGAGAAGAGCAAACAGTTAAGAAAGAAGGGTTAATTCCTATTTCTTCCAGCACCTTTGCAACAATCAGAACTGTACCTGATGAAGTTGCTGGTTAAAGGTAAAAATATAGATACTGACCAATCATGGATATCCAGGATGTTTTATAGTTTGGCTCATGCTCAATCTGAAGCCCTTGCCAGTACGTGTTCCTTTTTAATTCAGCAAAAAAATGTCATCTGGCGGAAGTCTTCCTTTCTTTTTTTAGCTGCCATGATCCTAAATTGGGATCTTTGAGAACTATCTAAAAGTGATTCCATGCAGAAGATTTTTAACCAATGTCACTGTAAAATTCTGTGTTTGAAGTGGGGTGGGTGGGTGGAACTGCAGTCAGTCTTGTCCAGAAGCCTCTTGCCGACTAAAACTACCTTTCTTATTACCTTCACAAAATGGTAGTGTTGTAGTTGACTGTACATCAGTTGGAAACTTAGGGGAGAGGACATAAAAGCTAAGAACGTAAATAGCATTAAAAATGAAGTTTAACCCATAGAACAAATTGTTCTAGGAGTTACTGTACATTCAAATATAACAATCTACAAGGGTTTTCTAGCTTACAAATCTTTTTTTATCTCATCTCTTGCTGCTGTGCAAGTTACCCATCCTGTTTTTGCAGTTTTAGAATTTCCTTTGGTTTGTCCTTCCAAACACATAAACATGTCTTGTTTTGTACACATCACATGCTTTAGATGAGATACCTTCAGCCAAGAACTTCATAATCATTTCTTGCAACACAGCCAGATTGTAGGACACAAAACCAGATCCGTACACAACTCAAATCAATTAAGATAAATATTCTTTCATTATTCAAATACTATAAAGAGCAATCTAGCAACTGCTTCTATGATTGCCTATGTTATTAGTGGGGAGTTTGCATCTTACCCTGTTGTTCTTTTACCACACATATAAATGCAATGTGGCAATAATTATGGATAGGAATCATGCACAGAATTATCACTTGATTTAGTGTGTTTATTTCATGCTGTTTTATTGATTGCTCTGTTCGGGTTTTTTTTTGTTATTTCTTACTCTTTATTCTTGCACTTGATTTATTTGTTGTCTGCCACTCAGAGTAGTGCTTTGCGCTAATTAGGTGGTATAAAAATTAAATTAAATTAAATATAGTATCGGCATGATAGCATTTTGCTGATAAAAATCTGCTATACAAGAGGCTCACTGAGCCTCACTCAAAATATAAATTGATTTCAATGTCCTTCTCTTTCTTGCCACTAGACATGAAAACATTGACTTTTTTGGACATGATTTTCCCTAATAATAATCATCATCTTTGAACTGCAGAGCTGGAAGGGGTCCTATGGATCATCAGTTCTGGCTCCTGATGAGGCACAAGGAGGAAATGAATTTCCAACCTATGGCTCCGCAATCAAGACACCTCAACCACTGAGCTATCCAGCAGTTCATCATCCCTCATCTACCACAGCTACTGGTCATGGTAGCTTGCAAAAAGTTTCTTTCTTTATTTCATTACAGTAACTTTATATAGTGCCTCATTAGTGAAATGCACTGTGAGTTGCAGTAAAAAAAACCTGAACTTCCCCAATGTCCCCTGCTTCAGGGAAAAGTAATGCCTGGCACTCAGAGAAACACTGTTCAACCTTCAACTCCAGTAGCTCCAGACCAAAGAAAGAGACCAGAAATCATGAAGTCCTAGTGCCAGCTCTAAAAATTGTGTTCTTGTAGTGTTCTCTAGCTGCTGTTGATCAAGCTTGGCTAGGATGTAAAGCATGAAATACAACTGCAGCTAGGAAACTATTTTTAGACAAGATCACGTTGATTGCATTAGTTGTGCTGCACTTCGAAGCTTGTGGTCTGTGTGGAGCAGGGGATGTCTTACCATGTCAAGATATGGCAGAACCCTTGCTCCAACCATGTACCACCTTAATTTTTGTTGTTGTTTAGTCGTTAAGTCATGTCTGACTCTTCGTGACCCCATGGACCAGAGTACGCCAGGCCCTCCTGATTTCCACTGCCTCCCGGAGTTTGGTAGTGTTTAACAGACACACAAATAATAAAGTGTTTCATCTTACATTAATCTAAATATAACCTACTAAAAACCTACTGTCCATGAAGGTTGAATAAAGCAGCAGCATATTAGCTATTATAAAAAAATACTTATCTGGCATTGCAGAAACTAAGGCTTTCTTGAATGCAAAACATATACTGTACGAACCAAAAGGAGGAACTGTAACTTACCTGTAACAATGCCATAATTGGGGGGTTCAATAACAGCTCCATAAAACTGAATGATGTTTTTGTGGCTGAGCACACTGAGTATTTCTGCCTGTTTGAAATCCAAGGAAACCATTAGGCATAAACACAACACGGTCTTCAGCTTTAGTAAAAGTCAAACTTCATGGATTAATCTCTTTGCAAACTATACAGCAATACAGGAAGATTGTCTCATTGAAATTATTCTCAAATAAAATTATTTTTATACAAACTGCATTCAAGCCTAACCATCTTCAGCTCTAGGGACCACATGGAAACATGTGCTTTATAGATGGCATTCAACAGATATGCTCTTCTGTGACCAAACTGTTGCTTTTCAGAGCTGTCCCAACCCTAAAATTTGAGCATTAGCATATTGGCAGCTAAACAATCTACACAGTGTGCCTTTCCACACAATCCCCAGCACCTGAGGACAATCAAGAAGAATGGTGAACATCCACTGCCTGCTTGAAACTGTCAGTCTGCCACAAGGACTCTTTGATATTGGTTTTATAGAGAATACATTTCTGTTGCTCAACCACCTTCTTCCAAAGCCTGAACAAGTTTTGGGAGGGTCTTTTCCTAACATAGAACTATCAGAACTATGGCATCCTAATCCAGGGATAGGAAACTTCAGCAGGGCCAGCAGCCCAAGAACCTTGCTCCCTAAATTGCATGCATAATTTTAAAAAATGCAGTTTTTTAAAAAAAAAATTATAACACAGGGTTTATATAATGTGAAGTTTGCTTTTCCAATTGCATGTTGTGAATTGAAAATAGAAGGAAGGAAAGAAGGAAGATTTGAAAACCTGAAAATCCCCTTTGTGCCTTCTAGGTGCCAAACCTGCACCCCCATATCCCTTAGGGGGCACATATGGGTGCTAGGATCATAAAATTGGATGTCAGGGAGCAGAGGACCTGTGGGTGCTAGAAGTCACAAAAGAGGAGGGGCTTGTGCTGCATGCCACAGATCTGAGTGATGTGTAGCCCAACCAGTCCCTTTTGTTAGGAAAAAGGGACTGCAAAAAAAATTGAACCGGGGAATAGCAGAGAGACAATATGTTCAGTTGTGGTCAGATATATGCAGCCTTTGTATCAATCATTCCTCCTACGTGTACAGTGGATGTGGCCCTATTCTTTCAACCTCTTTCAGGGAGGACAGCAAAGTGAGACTACTGATAGAATACACACACACACACACACACACACACACACACACACACACACACACACACACCACACATCACTGAGAGTGAAAAAACAAGTACTCATAAACTACATAGTAAGTATTTAACACAGGGAGCCATTGAGCCTGATAAATGGTATACAGTAATTTAGCCCTGCAGCGCACTTGTTCAAAACACCTTTGCAGTAATGGCAGCTACATATTCGGTAAAACGTTTCCAACCTAGGACAGAACTGTTTCATTTGTGACCACAAAAGGCATTCTCTGTCACCAGAGAACTGGGAACTGCAGCCAAACAAGGGAACCAGGGCTGTCCAACCACAGATATATATATATACTATCACTGTGACTTGTCATTTTTAAATATTGTTTCCTCTGCATGTCAATGATCAACGCAATTTCCCTCTTTGGCTATGAGACTGGGCACATATCTAACTAAGAAGAAAACTGCACAAAGTAGTTCTCGCACATTTTGCCACACCGTTCCAGATTCACAAATCCCGGAGGTTTTCTTCATCATCACCCTGAAAGCTGAGGAACCACAACAGCGAATGGCCTCGGGAGGGACTAGAGAGCAGGAGTTCAGCACAGAGAATCCATGCAAAACTGAGCCACAATTCTTCCCTGCAACTACAGTTCCCATGACTTTTTGGGGAAATGTCTGATGGTTATACTGGTACAAAACTTTAGTGGTCCAAATACAGTATCCATGTACTTGGAGCAATCATTTCACCTTCTAGCAATATATGACAATAAAATAAAAGCTCATTAAATTAACAGAGCTCATTGAGACATGCCGCCATTTTTCATATATTTTCAAAAGCAGCTTAACTAAGGAAAACTTGCAGCCTTATATTGCCTGCACTTATAGGTTCTTGTCACCCATTCAACTAATTCGGCAAAGGAATCATTGGGGAACAAACTAAATACTGTAACGGCATGTTTCAGCCCCAAAATATATACAAGGAAGATTAGAATCACAATTTGACCAGGTCACCAATCAGCCAAATTTCCAGCATAAGATACTCTGTCATGAAAAAAAAAATTAGGCTACGTGTGTTTAATTACTCCAGCACTCTGATTAGCAGAACATCCTTGCTTCCTAATATTTATCACTGTTTCCTGGGAGACCTGATTACATACAGTGTTGGAGACATATCTGCCATGTTTTATTAAAGGAATGCCAAAATTATTTTAGAAAGGGCTCAAGAGAGATAAACAAAGAAATGAAGCCGGAACTTGCTGTGCAGTATTTTAAGGACCAGTTTTAACACTGTGGACATTTTAACCTGGCAGCCATTTCTACACAATGTCTCATGAAAAGAAAATCTTGTCTAACATTCATTGCATAATGCAAATCCAAGGTTAGTTGACCAGAAGAGATTTTCTTCTGCATTTATTGAGTATTAATGGAAGGGCTGATGTCTTCTGCAACTAAATTATAGCCTGATTTGTGCATCTTAGAGTGTTGTTATGCATCTGATAGTTAAGGATGCCTATAAAGAGGTATGTGCACAAGCTACGGAGATTAGTCCTGATCCTATGACTTCCTAAAAGCACAGTGGGTGGGGAAAAAATGAAAAATGGAGACTCCAGGTGAAACCAGGGAAAACAAAACAAGTAAGGGCTCCTTCCATCTCAAAGCCTTTCCTTAAAAGATCTGGCAATCACTGGGCATGGGTTGGTGGTGGGGGGTAGGAAGGCACAAATGGCAGAGACACCACTATGATATCAGAGGCCAATGCTTCTGTGCCACCATGAAGCAGTTCCAAAGCCACCTTGATCAGAACCTTCTGTAGATTATTATCAGTGCTCTTGGAAAAAACTCACAGAGAAGGGAAAAAACTTCCTCTTTTAGGGATTTTTAAGGTTAAGCTGAGAATGGGTCCACCTTCAGATATTTATGTTCTGAGCTGTTCACAAAATTAAAGGTAAGCTTTAATAATAATTTGGACTAAATAGCAAATAGGCAGCCAATGGAGCTGTATGGGCTGCTAAGTCCTGCATCTACAAACAGCTAATATTTAACTATTAGGGATGGAAGTGTCAGCTTAACACAAATGGGGAGGGGAGAGAGAGACTACAAAAAAGGCTGTTACTTTTGTTTTTGTATTCTTTCACTAATATCTGAAAGAGCCTCTGAATCCCAAATTATTCATTTAAACTAAAAGAGATACCAAGAATTTCCATTTCCTTTATATCTTCTCATTACAAACTACCTCCATTTGACCCACATAAGTGAAATTGTCTCATTCCAACAAATATTATCGTGAGTCTGTCAACTGCCAGTCAGGATTTAGAACTTCCAGGGGAGGTGGGCACTTGAAGAGTCTTTAAAAGCGACTGCTGGTTGAATAGCTCAGTGGTTTAGGTATCTGGCTGTGGAGCCGGAGACTGGGAGTTCAATCCTGCTCTGTGCCTCCACAATCCTGCTCTGGCCTTGGGCAAGCTGCACAGACCCAGGGTGCTCCCCAAAGAAGGGAATGGTGAGCCGTTTCTGTGTGTTCTCTACCTAAATAAACCTAAAAAGGGTAATCACAAGTTGGTATTGACTAGTGGTATGCATTTATTATTTTAAAAGGCTTAGAAAAGAGAAAATGCCTGTTCTTTTGCTGTTTGGTGAATTGTTCATTGTTGTTATGAGGGCTTTTCTGCTGCTCCTCATTTTGGGTTTTGACCATCATATCTGCTGGCTTGCTGCTGTTCCTTCATTTTCGATTATTTTATTTCTTTTTTTATTATTTTTCTTCTCACCCTTCCTGATTCCTTCCTGTCTTGCTCTTTTTATGTTGGGAGGGAATGTTTATCCTTCATGTGGACTGCTATCTGCACTGTTGGACTGAAGCCATCAAAGTAGTGGAAGAAGAGAAATCTCCATATTGAGTTTGGGGAGGTTGACTATTTTTAGCTCTTAACGAGTGTGTGCTTTTTATTCTAATTTTCTTCCCTGAGTGTGGGTGGGAGTGCACTGTTCTTCATTTCATGACGATGATGATTACTTCTGTTTCTCAACAGTACTGTTTCCTGCTGATGAATCAATGTGGAGGAAGGAGATGGTGATGTGATAACAGGCGTGAATTTAAAAGTATTGTTAGTGCCTGCATAGGTCTGATGATGGCCGATTTGTCCTTTTCATGTACTGTTGTTGTTGCCTGTTTTCGGCATAAACAATTGTTTCGTAGCCTTGTCCTCACTTTTTCAAATAGTTCTGCGACTACTGAGAAATGATATTTGTTAGTTTTTATTGGTCTAGCTAATTCAAACAAGAACAAAAGTGAGATTCTCTCAAAAAGAATAAGGTTGCAGTCCTATACATGCATATGTGTTAGCAAGTTTCACTGTCCTCAGCAGGATATTTCTAAGAAGGCAGGTACTGTACAAAACTGCACTAGAAGATACTGTACTTTTGCTTTCCTTACATTATCTCATCTCTAACAACAAATCTATTGAACACCTCAGTTGCATGGAAGGCAACTTCTGGAAAACTTCCCTTAGGGAGAGAGGCTGAGCTCATTTTTAGAAACATTCTCAGCGACCACAGTCTTCTAGTGGTGGAGTCTGGAGACAAAATGGTGGAACCAAATAGTGTATACCAACATTGTTTTGCCACAAACTGCTTACTGCTGCTATCTAAGCCTCTGGAAAGGCATTCTACCTTTTAGAATGGGAAAAACTGCACAAAAGCTGGCAAATCACCAAACAGCCATGTTATCGTGAAGAGGGCATGACCATCTGGAGAATTCTAGAGTCGGATTGGCCCGAGGTTACTCAGCTGTGCTTCATGCCCAGCTGCAGCACTTAAAAATGTATCTAATCACACAGATGTCTCCAAACCCCTTTAGAAGCAGGATCCTGCTTTGACCAAGTCCTTCACAAACATCCAATAC